CCCCTCCACCGCCTCCTCCTTTCATCCTCATCCTGCTCCTCCTCCTTCCCCTCCTCCTCCTCCTCCTCCTCTTCCTCCTCCTCCTCCTCAATCTCCTTCTCCTCTGTTCCTCTGTTCATTTCGTGATGTTGTCCAGCTCCCGAAGGCCACAATACATTTGACAACGACTAGACGAGGGACGGCTGGCCTTGCAGCCGCTCCGCTGGCATTCTCCAGCTCCGACCGAAACGTTTGCCGTCGGAGGGCTTCATACCAGATTTGAGCTCCGCAAGGCACTGCACGGCGCCACGGTTGCGAGGGGCCCCAGGGCATGGGCTGGAGAGGTTGTTGTGCCGCTGGGTGCCGAAGGCACCGCACTTCGAGCACCACACACTCCCCCCCCCATACCTAGCCACGGCCTGTGGGGCTCGTGGGCCCTCCTCGCAATCCTTGTTATACCAATTCACGGAGCCAGGCAGAGGCCAGTCCTTGATTGCGAACGGTCCGGTCCGCACACAAGGTACAGAACAACCGAAAAGAAACCTGACCTGCTCGGTTCACGCTGTGGCCGTTGGCATCTGCAACCAGCTCGAGGCCCCCTGCTTTCTTCCGACCAGGGGCCCAAATCTCAGACACATCCTTAAACCCCCTCCGGGAGAGCATGTAAAACCTAAGCCTGGAACATCCCAAGATGCCTCGCCCTCTCAGAGATAGAGGCACACTGGTCTTTGACCCGCGGACTACTGGGGTGCATCCTGGCCCCCACCCCCGCCAAGGCGTGGGCCTCGCGGTTCCCCGCCCACGCCCAGACAGGGATCCTCAAGCCCGACGCCTTGCGCCTTGGCGAGGGATGGATGGGAGCGAACCTTGATGAGGGAAATGTTTTCTCTTCCATAGCCCTCGCTGATATGGAAGATCTAATCCTAAAGCTCACTGTCATTATCAGTACACTGGTCAGGACCCCCATTCCACACACCGACCACCACCTGACAATCCGTGGTGATAGTAACGGCCCCGACGGACAGGAAGCGGAGACACATAAGCAGAGCGCACACTTCCCCGCATCCCGCCTCTTGAGCAGGCTGAGGGAGAGGACCATGGAAGGAAGCGGTGATAGAGGCAACAAACGGATCCATCCCCACGACCGCCCGTCCTGCCCTAGCGAACGGTAACCCAGGATCAATAGCAGAACCACCGATACAGACCCTGGACTCCAAAAGCCCTGAGGTAGGCCTCTTAACCCCCACCACCTCTGTCATGAAGGTCAGGAGGGGGCCACATGCCTTCTGGAGACTGCGTGAGCCCACGGGTGAACGAACAAGACAAGCCTCAGGGCGAGCAGCATCAGACTCTACTTCAGGGAGGTCGAACATCTTTCTGGTGCCGTGATGCGCAGGACACCTGTGCAGCCGATGCATCTGAGTACCGGCCTCGAGACCGCAAATCTGGGACTTGCAGTCAACAGCACGTCGATCTTCAAGCAGACATGCTTGCGCAGGGTAACCCCCCGCAACTAATCCAGAGAGAAGCCGGTCCTTATTCTTACTCTGCTTCCCCACCTCCTCCTTGTACCCCCGACAAATCTGCATAAGCGGGGCAAGCAGCGGCAGCGGCGGCGACTGGAACAGCTTCAAACCGGCCCTCGCACGAAGGGCCTCTCGAACCAGCCTCCTCGCACAGCACAAGACCAAGAGAGGAGCGGCAACTCGTTTGCAGCGCACTCTAGATCTGTATCGAGCTTAGCGAACCACGTAAACTCCAACATCCTAATCCTACCTCTCCCTGCACCAAAGGAACCTAGGGCCAGCGACGATCTCAAAGCACGGATCCTCTTGTCATCCAGGCCTTTGATACTCGTACCAGACACGCCCGCTGGAATTGTTCCTTCTTTCGATACCTGCAAGAGAACTTCGGATGCCTCTGAACTTGGACAAGCGCGCCTTGACTCTGCCGAGCCTGATCGCAACGACTTTCTTGGCCCCCGCGCCCTTGCGGCCCGCGCCGAAATCGACACCCAGGTTCTCAGTAGAGGACGGCACCTGGAACTCCCACTTGGCCAGCTTCTGGGCCACAGCTTTCGCGGCGCTAGAACAAGACGACAAAATGACCCCCTTGGACTCCGAGATGACCAAGTGCTGAGCCCCCAGACGCCCGCAGAGATAAGCCATGCCACCCCCAAGAACCACCTGGACCTGCTTCGGGAGGGACCCCTCCGACAAACAAGCCGATGTCGCAGCCACATGGAGCGGCCTAACTGACGCGAGGTGCTCGCAGAGCTCGTCGATGGAGGAGAGCAAGAACAGGCGCATTAGGGCAGTGGCAAATGGGCAGCCCGCCAGAATGGCGCGCTGCGCTACAACTGGCACGAGCAAGTACCTGGCAGACTGAGAAATCTGGGACCACGATTCTTGATAGAAGCAGACGCAGCCTGCGAAGCGGGAACGCCCAATCCTGAGCAGCACGCACGAGCAGGAAGTGGCACACTTTCTCGCAGGCTTCGGCGAGGCCCAGCATTCCCAGCCCAATGGGCAGCTCCTTGAGGCCAAGCTGCTCGACAGCAAGATTATGCTCCCAGACGGCCCGCTCGCAAGACTTACCCTTGACCCCGCAGCGGTAGCTTCTGGGGCGCTGCCCCTCCCAAGACGCCGCTTCATGCCTGGGCAACTTGTGAAACGCCCCGTTGACGCTTGTCTCGATGCCAGCGGGGCGGGACCCCCCCATCTGGCTTGACCAACTGC